TAAGCCTATTTGTGTATATGTATGTGAGTAATTTGTAATCATTATTTAAGAGTGAGATGGGGCGTTGATTTTCTAACATCTTTGTATTTTTGTCTGGTTTTGGGATCAGAGTGATGATGCCTTGTTTCATGCTTGTTGGTAACATCAAATTATTTATGGTTTCATTAAAAACTTGAAAGAGGAGGTCCCTGAGAGATTCCCAAAAGTGTCTATAGAAGTTACCAGTTAACCCATCAGGTCCTGGGGAGCGATCAAGTTTTAAGCACATAATAGCTCTGTCAAGTTCAGCAAAGTCAATATTTTTTTCTCAATCATCCTTGAATTCATTATCAATTTGTGGGATATGTGCTTTAATTTGTTCTAGGAAGCTTTTGGCTTTAGAAGCAGAGTAAGAGGAGGTGTATAAATTTTGATAGAAGTTTGTGATTTCATTTGCAATGGATTTTTCATCAGAGCATTCCTCACCATTAATGATTAAGGATTTTATTGTCTTTCGTTCTTGTCTGTTTTTCTCTAGTCTGCAAAAGTATGTTGTGTTTTTCTCCCCCTCCTCCATCCACTTTGCCCGTGATCTTATGTAGGCCCCTCGAGCTTTCCTTTCATATATATTATCTAGTTTTTCCTGAAGTTGTAAGAGTCTAATCTGCTCATTATCTGAAGTTGTAGAGTGCATGGTAATAGAGAGTATGTCTTTAATGACATTCTCTTCTTCCATGTTGTTTTTCCTTTGGAGTTGTTTGCTATAAGAGATAGAGTATTGACGGATTTTATATTTCAAAAATTCCCATTTTTGGGTATGCGATACTAAAGATTCATCTTCTAAAACATTTTGTATGAGTTCCTTTATACCCTGACAGAAGTCATTGTGAAGTAATAATCTAGAGTTGAATTTCCAGCAGCCATACTTCCTGGAGGTTTGTAGTGGAGGGGTTACAGATAGCTCCACGCAACAGTGATCCGTGAGGGGTGCTGGTGATATTTCACAGTTTAAGATTTGGTTGACTATGCCATCACTGACTAACCAGTAATCTAATCTGGATTTAACTGAAGCATTTGGTTTGAACCATGAGAATTGTTTTTTACCTGGATTTCTTTCTCTCCATGGGTCTACCAGATTTAAGGACTCACAAAAGTTGGCCAATATGGGATTTTCGTGTGTAGAATTATATTTGCTGGGAAATCGATCGAGCCAGTCATCTTTCACCATGTTCCAATCTCCTGCAAATGTAATGTTTTCAGATATATATTTCATTTTCAGTTGAAGTAATACTTCCTTTACTTCAGAGAGGAGATTTCTATTTTGTGCAGCACTGCAGTGACCATATATATTTCCTAAAATTAGAATAGAGTCATCCAATTTGAGCACTGTGATAATCCAGTGGCCATTTTCATCAGATTTTGTGGTGATTATTTTCCCTTGAAATTTATTAAAAAGAATTGCCACCCCAGCTGATCTTGATGTACCATGTGAGAATACAATTTTGTCTCCCCATTGAGTTGTCCAAAATTGTTCATCTGTTGTATTTGAATGAGTTTCCTGCATTAAAACACATTGTGCTTGTCTTTTTTTACAGTACAAGAATAAAGCCTTTCTCTTAACACTGTCCCTTAGACCTCGAGTATTAATGGTTAATAGTTTCAAGTTGCATTTCAGTAACACTGACATTCACACACACACATTCACACAGACAGATTAACGGTAATAAGAAATAAGTAGCTTTTTTACCTTTTAAGTAACAAGAACTTTGGGCAGGTCCCTATGAACGTGAGCATTTTGCCCTTATTGCAGTAATTTATGTATTCATTGAACACAACATTAGATTTCATTGGAACAAACAAATAAATTCAAACCTTCAACTTTTCCAGATTATAGCTCTTATTCAAGCTGTAACAATGCGTCCATCGATGACTGCAATGTGGCCTTTATAAAAGGCCATCTTACCCTGCGATCTGGCCAGTTTTATCTTTGGCCAAAGCTGTTCGCGGGACAGTAGATCTTCTTTGGTAAAGTCCTGGACAAAGCGGACTCCACGCTCCTTGCAGATTGGTGAATCTTTGGTTGATTTCCACAGCGTATCTCGATGAATTCTTCTCACAAACTGCATGATGACCTGACGGCTGCGCCCGATTTCTTTTCTTCCAACGCGGTGCACGGAGTCGACCACATTTCCAATGTTGTCAGCCCACTGCGGGAAGATTTTCAGCAGAAGCTCCTCGATTTTTTCCCTGATGTTTTCCCCTTCCTGCTCTTTAAGACCGGAGAGGCGAAGGTTCCAGCGGCGTTTATAACGTTCAACATCCAGCACTTTTTCTTTGAGAGTAGAGTTTTCTTTTCTCAGGTCATTGCAGTCTTTTTCCAGAGTGTCAACCCTCGAGAGACAGGCTGCCACCGCCTTCCCATTTTCCTCAACGCGTTGAATTAGCTCAGTGAACATATTTGACTGGTCCCTCAGAGTCTCACTGAAAATGTCCACTTTGCTTTCCACTTTCATGAGGATTTTCACCATATCTCCAAATGAGTACTCCGTGCTTTCAACTACTACCTCATTGCAGGGTGTTGTTTCAGTATTTTGAGCCAACTTCTTAGCAGGTGGTAGTTTGGTGGGAGTCGTGTTTAACGGCCGTCTTAGCTTGCCTGCTTTAGTGGTGTCCATCGGGGTGACATCGTCCGGGGCTGCGGTGGCAGAGTAGTTGTGGAAAGCTAGCGAGTTTCCCGCTCTTCCATTTATCTTGTCTTTTATCGCGGACATCGTTTTTTCCTTGTTCCCTTATTCACAGTTGAGTTAGCAACTAGGCTCACTGAATAAACAGTCGTAATGGTGTTCCAAAAGGGCAGTTGTTAAGTGGTTTGGACCAAAAACGAACGGAGCTCAAAAGTTTGCTCGTGCCCTGTCCGCCATCTTCCTGCCTCTCAAAGGTCTGTGGGAACTATGTATTGATATGGTCGGCACTAGATCATATACGGAATCGGGACGAAACCGGAAGTAACACTCGTACTTTCGAATTAGTTTTAGACTAATAAGTCCTTAAGTGGTGACTGGTTAAGTTTTAGGCGTCTGAGTAAGATGGTTAAGGTTAGGGTTAAGGCTGGGTTGGGGTTATTTTATGGGAATAGCTGGTTAAATTTAGGCATTAATAGGTAATTTGTAATATTTACTTCCGCTTCCGTCCCGATTCCGTATATGATCTGGTGCTGATATGGCTCCTACAAATATACTTATGACAGTTCCTCAGCTTTTACAGAAAAAAAAATACTTTTGCACGGTGATAACCAGGCTCTCATCAAAGTGATAACCTGCCCTGCTTAGCTTCAATGTGGCTTCACGTTTTTGCAGTTTTTCTTCTGCAAAAATGTGACAGCTGATTTGGGGCAGCTGTAAAATAAACCAGGGCGCCCTCTGCTGGAGCAAGAGCACACTGCACCCGTACACACAAGCTGCTGTCAGAGAGGAGCTGGTGGCTAATGGCTGTTAGCATCGAAGCTAATGTTCAGTCATTTGTGTACCTTTTAAATGGACGCAGACGAAGCTAGCAGTGATTCCTGAGGTAAGTTTAATGCCCCACACAGTAATACATGTGCACACGGGTCATTTATCCACAAAACCGTGAGATATGTGCGATTATATGGATTTATGCAGCAACAACGAAAGAGGAGCCTCGACATGGGTCTTGATGCTTTTAACATGTAACCTGGCAAATCAGCATCAGTCTATGGAGAGGCAGGGGTCTAAATATGTTTGTTTTTTTAACATATAATAGAATACAAGTTAACGCAATTAAATCTACTTCTGTCCCATTCCTTCCTGTCTTGGCCTTGTAGTCCATATGTAGTGTAATGTCTAGACTGGGGATGTCATTGGGCTCAGTCTAACTCTTGAGACTGAGATGAACATTTTATTCAATAGGCCTTTCATAACAAGTAAGAAATAATGTTAGTTTTAGTTAAAACAAAAAACGTGTTGTATTTGTGGGGCACCTTCACGGGCACTGTGATAAAACATTTTCCCATCAGGAAGAGTCTTCTAAAAGGAAAATGGTGTGGAAGATCAGATCCCAACATGCTTTCGTCACCTTATTAGATAGAACATTACTTTGGAAACAGAGCCCTGTGTGTCACTCTTTGACTCTCTATTTTAAAGTGTGACAGATAAGTGTGCTAGCTTTAATTCATATATTGGTACTATAGGAGTCAAAACAGTGACATAAAAAATATAAAATTAAAGTATTGTGTGATTTAAGCGCATTTAATTCAATATAACAGCATAGTGTGGTAAAATCAATCTAACTAGTTTTCACATGCTTGTATTTTTGGTCTCTGCCGCATCTTTAGATCATCTTTTTTTAGTGGAAAAGAGAGCCCTCACACAGCTCTCTGTAAAAGATGATATTTTTTCTAATACGATGAAGACAGAATGATATGGTCTGATTTGTTCACTAAATATCACTTAAACAAGTCTTTCTTTCTTGGGACAAACACAATGTATTTATGAAACAAAATCAAATTTGGGACACGACACCATATAACTGCTAGTATAACAGTTGCATAACAAATTTGTTCGGAGGAAAGATAGACCGGAGCGAGACCGGAGCGAGACCGGACAGAGAGACCGGACAGAGAGACCGGACAGGCTAAGGGAGGGTGGTCCTCTCCTTTTGAAAGTTGATCTACCGTCTTTATTCCATCAATCGTTATAACCAAACCACTCACATCCACAAAAATATAAAATAGTTTGTTTGATAAAGAGTAGTTAACAGCATGGTCACCACCACTACTTCCTGCCAACAGTTAAAGCTGGGTACCTAACTTTCAAACCACAAAAAGAACAAATTCTGTAGTAAAATATTTCAAACATTTGCATTTCTCTTCGTTTTCCTCTTTCCACAGTATTTCCATCTCTGTTGTCGGACTGAACGTCTCCACGCTGACTAAAACCAACGCATTGAAGATGTAGCTTGCTCCTCTTCGTCTTCTTCCTCCTCCTCCTCTCCACACCTCCGCCATGCTGTTCTCCCTGCGCGAGCTGGTGCAGTGGCTCGGCTTCGCCACGTTCGAGCTGTTCCTGCACCTGCTGGCCGCGCTGGCGTTCAGCATGCTGGTGGCCCTGCGCGCGGACATGCTGGCGCCGTCGCTCTCCTGGTGGCTCGTCTTCTCGCCGCTCTTCGCCGCCGACGGCCTCAGCACCTACTTCACCGCCATCGTGTCCATCCGGCTGTACCAGGAGAACGAGAAGCGGCTGGCGGTGCTGAGGCTGCTGTGGGTGCTCACCGTGCTCAGTCTGAAGCTGGTGTGCGAGGTGCTGCTGTGTCAGAAGATGGCAGAGCAGGAGCAGGCTCGCGATCTGTGGTTCGGCCTCATCGTTTCGCCGCTCTTCATTCTGCTGCAGCTGCTGATGATTCGAGCGTGTCGAGTCAACTGAGCGCGGGACGTAACATAGACATGGACTTATCACGGCTTTGGGACCTGTTCTAGTACTTTCTCTGGTCATTCACACACTCAAAGAGGAAATATTATGCAGAATTCACTTTTCATGAGTCTTTAACCATTGTTCCTTATCAAAAACAGACCTGGGACTGTTTAAATCTACCCACACTTATACCAGGAACTTCTGGGAATGTGTAACTTTTCGCCTTCTCAGTCGAAAAGTTCCAGTCTCATGCTACTTTCATGCGATCTCAAAAGCTCATAGAAATCTTGGAAACTCGGGGAAGTCAGAGAGACAGACAACAGACTGAACGACCCCATTAAAACACATACCTTCCACTTTCCATCCAGAATCTGAGTTGAGCTCCGTTCATTATTAATAGCGAGATGTCAGAGCAGTTTGGAGATTTTTAAAACAAAAGTATATTGTTTTTTTTGTTTCTGCGCATTCACATGTCAGTGTCTGAAGAAAAATAAACATTCCACACCTCCCTCTGGTGGCAGCATAGGGAGTTACAGACAGAAAGCTTTTTTCTCCCATTATACGTAAATAGTCTCATTTTGTAGTTTCCAAAAATGATGCATAATATTTCTTCTTTAATTCATGCATGTTTGATTTACCGTCATAATCACAAGAAGCCATCTTGCTCCTCACTTCTCTGATGGATCTCCCATGTGACAACTGATCTGTAACTGTTGATGTCTCTTGCTCAAGCGTCTCCAACCTATTGCTCACCACCTCTTTACAATCACCAAATCTTACTAACTGGGTTAGCCTTGCGCTCTAACAAATGTAAACAGACGTGTTGCTAACATGGTTGCAAAGCCAAGCTGGAGTTTCTCCCGTGAATGAAAGCATCAATTCTGTATGACGATCATCATATTGGGTTTAAAAATCACACATTATAAAAGTAGTGACATAGTAGTGAAATAGTGTGACATTAACGGTTACTTAGCTTTTCAATAATACCACGGTTACAGCTAGCTCTATAAGCGATGCCAGTCTGTCCCCACCATAGACTGCATATAGATGGACAATGCTAACAATACTATTAGTTAGTTGTTGGGGCTCAAAATTGTATTCACAAAAAAATAATCAAAATATAAACCCCAAGATCACAGAGAGTGCTAAACCACAATTTTTTTAAGTCCAAAATGGTGAGTTAGAGTAAAACATTGAGCTAGCGGGTTAGCATTGTCCATCTATACACCGTCTATGTTTAAACTGTACGGACTCACATATGTTATTTATTTCCTTAGCGGTATTTAAAGGCACCCATGCTTTTCAATGGAAACATACAACCAGAGATCATACTCATTACAATACGGTTTGTCTGGCAGATACAGCAGTCTGTGCGGCCTGCAATGCCACTTGCAGCTCCAATATTTTTTCTTGTGACAGTAATCATTCAGGCGGATGGACCTCTGCTGCATATATGACCACACGTGTGTATGTATTATTTTATGTTCTCCTTGTGATTGCTGAAAGACCGTTTGTTTTCAGCTTTGTACATGACTGTAAATAAAACACTGAAAAACAGGTCGTGTCTCTGTTCTGTGTGAGGCCTCATCAACATGTGCAGTTTAGTTTCAGAAATATTACATTTCATTAGTTGTCTTAATACTATAATTTCCCGAGCAGTCAATGTGTCGGTTTTTGGTATTGAAAATGCAATGTCTCAGCTCATGTACCTTGTTTCTCTCATAGTCTGTAAATATTAACAATATTAATATTAAAATATAACTTAGTGACTTTTTCAGTATGTGTGTATGTTGTTTACTTCTATGAATATGTTATTACGATATCACTTTTCAATTTTTAGGAGTTCTACCTTTGGCTAATGTTAGCGTTATTTATTTTTGGTCGCTGTCTTCTTTTACAGCAGTTAAAGCCCTTTTTCAAGGTACTGGTTCTGACCTGGCAGGGTTCTAGACTGGTTCTGGTCTGGTCTGGGTCCGGGACTGGTTCTGGTCCCGTTTCAGTTTGGATTTCCAGCAGGGATGAGCGCTAGTTACCATAGCAACACGCTAACTGGCAGTTAGCATTTGGTATTTAGCATTAGGTTTTCGACAAACTGATTTAGCTGTATTTCAAGTTTTATTCCCCAATATTGTGCCCATGTCAGACCTCTGAAGTTGTGCAGGGCAGGGCCTGGTTAGTCCTGTGATGGGAGACCTCTGGGAACCTAGGGGCCTCAGTGGGGCGGCTGCAGCGGTAAAGCGCCGAACTGACTGTCAAACTTCACCCCCATTGCCAAGAATGAGTCGCGTGAATGGTTGATGGTGGTCGGAGAGACTGATGGCGCATACTGGTTGCCTCGTTTCTGTCAGTGTGCCTCAGGGCAGCTTTGGCTACAGTAGTAGTTTTTCACCAACGTGCATAGAGTGAAAGAATAATGACATGAAGCATAAACCGATGCATTATTATTATTATTATTCCCGACTTTGGCTCTTAGTAATGGTGAGTAAAGATAAAACATTATAAATTACTTATTTTCAACGAAACTGGTGAAACACTACATATCTTTTGGAGTATTAGTCCGAATTCTATTGGTTTGGAGCAGTCAAAATTGCGGCAAATGTGCACTTTGTGTGTAATGGGCCAGGACTGGTACAAAGGGATTTTAGTCTACTCTTTGTCACCAATATGAAATATAATCCTCAAATAACTGGAAATTATCACGTTGCCTTCACAGCAAGAAGGTCCTGGGTTCAATTCCACCTCCAGGCCTGTCTGTGTTTGCATGTTCTACCCGTGTCTGCTCCGGTTTCCCCTATCTATTATTAGTACATGAGTCATGGAGGCCAAAACTACAGGGCCTCAGCTTCACAATAGAGTCCAGCCATTTGTATGTATTCCAAAGCTCCTAAAAACACATTTATTCACATTATATACACATTTTTTTCTCCCAGGTTTAAGAGAAAATCGGTCAAACACTGTACATTGAGTCAAAGGGCTTCCTCACACACACACAGAGACACACAGACACACACACACACACACATTCATATATCCTACACACATTCTCAGTGCTATCTCGTGCTGGTGGTTGGATAGCAGCTGTTCTGGGACGGCTCGGCTGCACCACGACCCTTCTCCAAAGCACAAAACATCAATATTGCAGTGGAATTCTCCATGAGAGGCGTGGCTCCACCCCCAGCCTATGGTATCGACCCAAGTGGAATCGATACTTCCGTGTTGCAGACTGCTGTGTTCTCTCGATCCCCAGCCTAAAAAAAAAAAATACTCGATTATTTCACATTTTTCGTCTTTTTAACCTCGCACTGTCACTGCCATGGCCACAGAGGCTATTCGCGAGTCTGTGCCACAACTCAACGACTGTGCATATTTGGAGCCACTTCTTCCAACGCCTGTCATCAAAGTCAAGGGGGAGCGCAAGAGAAGCGTGGCCTGGGACTATTTTACGCGCCAGGGCAGCGGAGAGGCGAGCTGCAACGTGTGCCTGAGCACCGTGAAGAGCTGCGGGAACACCACCAACCTGGTCCAACATCTGCGCGTCAAGCACAGCGCGGAGTACGAGCGTCTGAGAGCGCAGAGGGAAGAGCAGGAGCGCGCCGCGGCCGCCAGAGGGAGCCAGAGCGGGGAGGCGGCGGTGTGGAGGAGCACAGTGAAGGAGGAGGAGCAGGAGGCCGTCTATGGTACTGCATTACTGCTATTAACCCTCTATACATAGACTGTTTATAGTCTAATAACGGTCTATACTCAGCTATCACACCTAAATGCATGTTTATTTCTGAAATTGCAAGTGTTTTTTCCCCTTTATGCAATGCTTCCAGTAACTGTCATGGTGTGGATTTTATTTTTGTACTTGTTTTTTTTTTTTTAGTTTGACTTCCTGTTCTCCTGTTGATTGTCTGCCCCTCCCCAATGTGTCTCATCTCTCTCTCTCTCATGTACTCCTCTCCCCTTGTTGCTGGTCCATTGTATTGTCAGTCCTGTTCCTCGTCCTTTGGATTTTTTGTTTGTTTTTATCTTGGACTTTTATTTATCACTATCATTAAATCTTTATTTTTGACTTTTCTGCATTTTTGGGTCCTCCTCCTTTCCACCTTGTGACAGTAACTGCTGTTGTTCAATACATTAGGCCTCTCTCACTGGTCTCTCTCTGGCCTCTCTCCCTCTGGTATCTCCATCTGGTCTCATGTCTGGTCTCTCTCTAGTCTCTCTGGACTCTCTCTGACCTCCCTCTCTGGTCACTCTGCTCTCTTTCTCTGGTCTCTTTCTTTCTGGTCTCTCTCTCTCTCTCTGGAGTCTCAGATTTTTTAAAAGAGCAATAAAGGGTTAAATATAATAATGATAATAATAATAATAATTGTGTATAATAAATATATGTATGAGCCCTATATGAGTCACAGTGATGTATTGCTTTGGAGAACACATGCATGACTATTTGGGAAGCTGAGACACTAGTTATGGCCTCTGAGGCCTCATTTACTCTCATTATAAGTGGGAACATCCTAAGCAAAGAAAGACCTCACTCTGCAGTTTTCTGTTGGGTTTTATTTTTATATGTTTGATCTAAAATGGACAGATATCATGTGTCGATGCAGCTATCACAGTGTCAAAGACAAGTTTATTTATATAGCACAGACAAGGGTCTGTGCATGCCAGTCCCTAGAAGGGCTTGCAACAGATCGAATGTCTAACCAGCAATATTTAGGTTTTGCACTAATAAAAGCTTTGCTAAATACAGTTAATATGGCTGGTTAGACAAGTAGAAAAGTTTTTTTGCCATTTGACATTATTCTCTTGTCTCTCTCTGTTCTGTCTGGTCTCTCTCTCTGGGTTCTCTTTGGTCTCTCTCTCTGGTCTTTCTCTCTATGTTCTCTCTGGTCTCTCTCTCTGGTGTCTCTCTATAGTCACTCTATCTGTCTCTCTGGTCACTTCTTTAAAAAGAAACGGGTCTTTATGATTTTTGTTTTGTACAGGCCTCTCTTTTAAAAGCATTAATTATATTTGTTGCGTATTTTTTCCAAACCCGTGTACACATATATTACACAAAACAATAAATAAATAAATAGTTATACACAGTTTGACTACATGGAATGGAAGCAAAAACAATACCTGTATTTTCCTTGTAGTTCAGGAGGCGGGACTTGCATCTGTCAATCAGTGCACTACAAGCTTATGTGGGAGTTTCTCTGTGAATCCAGGCCTTTTTCAGTTCTTTTTTAGCTAACTGGTCAAATCATCTGAATAAAAGTACAATATACAACAATAATAAACTACTTATGATATCAACCGTCATAATAAAACTTACAAGTATAGCTCAAAATCTTCCTTTTGTGTGTTTCTTGAGGACCGTTGTATTGGTTGTCCTCACAGATGGGGGCAGGGATATTGATTGAACCGTATATTGAAATTCCAAAATCAATCTAACAAAGAAAAGCACACAAACATGACCACTGACCACAGCCATCTCTGCTTTAAACAGATATACCACAGCGTTAGCCTTAATGTGGAAGAAGCCAATTTGAACATCCAGCCAATTTTTTATGGACATTTTTTCAGTGTTAGTTTTGCGCCGTAATAGGGGCAGATGTGTTGCTAAGATGGTTGCTAAGGCAAATTGGAGTTTCCCCCACATATGACGGCTTCTAATTGGTCAATCTATATATGGGTCGTATCGGGTTTTAGTCAAGAGTTGTAGCAAAACTTTGTCCATGAGCACTTCCCTGTTGGGCTTCATTGAGATAGAAGGTTAGCATTGTCAATCTACATCCTATGGCTTTAATACATAGATAGATAGAATAACATCCAGCATTACTATCCATATCTATATCTAGAACTGTCGCCTCACAGCAAGAAAGATTCCTGAGTTTCAATCTCAGTCGGAACAGGGACTCTCTGTTTACGTGTTCTATATTTACAGTCTATGCTTCTCCCTGTGTCAGTGAAGGTTTCCTCCAGGTGCTCCGGTTTCCCCTACCGCCAAAAACACATGCAATGAATGTCACTGTGCATGGATTATGTGAAAGAAAAACCTCTGAATATGATAAATACACTATAAATAAATAGCTATTACTCGGTTAATAATAATAATATGAATTGACTTGTTACAGGAAACATGGACATTGGCTTTAACTCTTTCAGCATCAGCCAAGTTTCCCCTCGAGGTGAGTCCGAAAAATATAATCACGTCATGACACAATATAATTTATCATAGAATTTGGAAGTAACTAAATACTATTACCAGCTTTGCGTACTAACCGCGGCAAACGTGTTGCTAAGACGATTGCTAAGGCAAGTTGGAGTTTCCCTTATGAAAGAAAGCATCTAATTGGTCAATACTTACAGTGGAGAAATAAGTATTTAGTTCTCCCACTTAAAAAGATGCAAGATGCCTATAATTTTCATCATAAGTAAACCTCAACTATGAGAGAAAACATGAGAAAGACAATCCAGAAAATCAAAATTTGTTAAGAATTTATTTGCAGATTATAGAGGAAAAAAGTAATTTGTCAATGAGAAAAGTCCCACGTCAATATTGTGTGTTACATACCCTTTGTTGGCACTGACAGAGGTCAAACGTCTTCACAAGATTTTCACACACTGGTTATGGTATTTTGGCCCATTCCTCCATGCAGATTTACATTTAAATTGCATTTACAAAGACAATATCATAATTTAAACACCAGGATCACAGAAACCACAGTTTTGTGATTTGGAGCAAAACCTCGTCCATGAGCACTTCCCTATTATGCTTCATTAAAATATAGGGGTAAGCATTGTCCATCTATATACAGTCTAAGGTGTGAACAGTTATTTTCTAATCTGCTATTGGTGAGTCCTTGATCCAATTATTATCCTATTACTATTAAATATAGTTTATTATGTGAGTCCTACAAATAAACAAAGGAGAAACAAACTAAGCAGTCTCTTTGTGAAGCAGTGAGGAGGGTCCCCAGTGAGCGGAAGAGGAGCGTGGTGTGGAGGTACTTTACGCGTCAGCTCAGCGGAGAGGCGACCTGCGACGTGTGTCTGAAGACCGTGAGGAGCTGCGGGAACACGACCAACCTGGTGAAGCATCTGCGCCTCAAACACAAGCCCGAGTACGAGAGCTACTCGCTGCAGCGCTCAGAGCAGCAGCAGGGGGGCGCTATCCCCTATGGTAACTATTACAGAGCACCGTCTGACCTTAAAAAATAAAACAGAAAATCCAAGAGTTATTTGTCAATGGTTTGTTCTCACAGACCAAGCACTGATGGGGGACGACTCCAATTCTTCTGCTGTTTTCCAAATCTCCAGCCCAGGTAAACACTAATATAACGTTAAAATGCTTTAATAATAATAGTAAGTAATCTTTATTTATATACCGCCTTTTCACTGCACATCGGAGTCTCAAAGCGGTTTACAATTGTGATTTTTGGGAGTGGGGGTGCCAGTACAGGAGGCACATGCCAGACCTATTGTACATATTTTTAGTGGTAGGGGAAACCGGAGCACCCGGAGGAAACCTACGCAGACACGGGGAGAACATGCAAACTCCACTCAGAAAGGCCCTGGTCCAACGGGGATTTGAACCCAGGACCTTCTTGCTGAGAGGCGAGAGTGCTATCCACTCAGCCACCATTTCAAGTATTATAATAATAATACTTGAAATGATATGTGTTATTGTGTTATTTTTGAACATTAAATACATAATCTTGAGAAAATCTACATTCTTTTCACATGAATGCTATACCCATGGATCTATAATAATAACTGCACCTCAACTCAAACACAAATACATCACTTTATCAATAATTTATGGTATTCATTTTGCTATAATAATGTAATAAAGTTTAGACGAATATTTTAGGCTTGGGCCATAGACTGTAATGTTTGGACTTTCAGATCCATGACTTTTACGGTTGAAACTTGTTCTCGCTTTTGATTGGTCATGTTGTGTGTCCATCAAACATCGTGGAAAGCAGAAGGGGGCGGACTTCAGAAGTTTAAAAAAAACAATTTTTTTTTTATATATCGTGAACGAATCAAATTTGTGAGGAAAATTCTATAAAAGTAAAGCCAAAGAAGTGTCATTATTATTAAATTGACAGTAATAGATTTATTTTTTATTTTATTTTAAATCTGGTTCTGATATAATTAAAGCAACAATTATTGACAACATGTAATTAGAAAAATCCAGGGAATAAAAATGTAAAATTACGTGGTTAAATAAAAAATATTGAAATTCAAATACGAGCAAAAAAGCTAGCTAAATGTTAAAAGCTAGCTAAATGTTACGTAGGCTAACAGTTCATACCACACATAATTCTCAGCATATGTATCAATATTGCTTGCGTCTAAACCATGGATCTATAATAATAACGGTCTAAAACAGCATAGACACGTGTGAATAACATTATGGCTTTGTGTTTCGCGTAGATGTGTTGGAGGCTTCGGTCGCTCGGGGGCGGAAGAGGAAGAGCTCTGCCCCGGACGGAGTGATCTTCTTGGACAGTGTGGGAGCCGAGTCCGCGGAGAGTCACTTCTCCTTCAGGTGAGTGGGACCTTCTGCTGCCGACAAAATAAACACTAAACTCACACAAAACACACACAGAACACCGCATATCACTGCTTTTTCGTGTCGCTTTGGGTTCGATAAATAACTACTTTCTCTAGTTTTATTCGCGAGTAAATGAAAGGACCTCCTGTGATTGGACTAAAGTCATGTTAAGTGTGACAGCCTGGTTCAATGCTTGTTTTAACCTAATATAATAGTGTTTTCATGCACAATATGGAAATTCAATGAAACAGAGACTTTGGATTGATATTGCCTTTTATTTCTGCTGTTATTACCACTAATAGCTGCAGTAGATGAAGCACATGATAAACATAAAGTGTTATTTAAAGCTCACATAACTCACAACGATATCACACAAAACTCACACCAAACCCACACAAATAACACACAAAACTCACACTAAAAACATTCAAAACTCACTGAAAACACAACACATGTCACTGCTTTTGAGTGTCTCTGTGAGTTTCCCAGATACTTTTTTTTACTTTTATTTGCTAGTGAATGAAAGAAGCTTGTGTGGTCAAACTTAAGTCATGCACACTGGGAATTGTATGAAACAGGGTCTTCGGATTGATATTGCTTTTTATTTCTGCTATTCTGCTTTTTCTTCCTGTGAGTTATTGAAAAGATATTCATTAACTTCATTAGCTTATTTTACTCATTGAGTATTCTTTTGAGCATTACCTTTTGATGACTGAATATTTAATTATATTTCATAATATAAGTATACTCTGCTGCCCAAAGTCAGGTCTTGGGGAGGCAGTGTTTCAGATCCATGCAGCTCACATTTGGAACCGTCTTTCTGAAAATGTGAGACAGGCTTCTACTCTGACAATGTTCAAATCCAGGTCTAAACCAGTTCTGTTTCGCTGTGTTTACAACTGAAGGATTCTGTATTCACTGTTTACTCTTTTTAATTTAGAATGATTATTTATGATTTTAAAGACCTTATGCAGGGTTTGTATTAATTAGACATTTTATATTGGAAAAGAACTACCAAAGGTTTCAAAATCATGTTTTTTATCCAATCCCGCCAAATTGAGAAAAGACCATAGCAACGCCTTAGAAACGGAAAAAATCAAACCAGCGCCTCTCCCTCGGTGACTTCACTGCGGGAAACCGTGTGAACCGAAAGTACATGTCCTCCATGCTGTCACGCTTGTTTACATTCTGTTAGTCTATTTTTCGCACTAAATCGATGGATATTCAAGATGACAAGATAATGTGTTGCACTGCACTGCTCACAGACACACAATAGACTTTATGACCAAAGGAGAAGAGGAGGTTTTCGGCGGAAGAGGAGGAAGACTACACGTGTGTTGAGGATGAGGAGGATGGACTCGATCGCAGCCTCGGTGAGAACGGCCAACAAACTTCAACGAGTTGCAGAAGAACGGGACCCTCTCTGTTTTGTTCATAACTATGTTACTCTCACGGAGACTTTACATTTGCTTCAGTGGAAACATTACAGTGAGCGGTGCTAGGATTAAGACCGCTGCTCTGTCAGGGGACAGGACTATCAGACGGCTGCTCTGTCAGGGGAAGGTGAAATACGCGTGAGTCACTATTAAAAACTTCTAATGTGTTCGACCTTTTAAATTGATCATTACAATGAAAACGAGTAACTTCTAAAAGTTATCACATTTATCTATGGGAAAAAATTTATATTATACAAATGTTTGAGTTTGAAAACAGCCTTTGTGTTAAAAGTGACATCCCTATTAGCCTGTTAGCCTTAGCCATCCATAAACTACAGTCTCTTATTTCCCTACAAGTACGAAATGTAATGAGTACGATACAGTAAGACCATAGACTGTAGACATTGGTGAGACCAGGCTGAATCCCTGTTACTCCCTGTTTAGGGAACGTGCATGAATCCAGTTTGTCAGAATTGCACTATATAGACATAAAAACCACTGATTTGATTACCAGGAAAACATTGTCAGAGATGTGAGAACTGCTTTTTGGAGGTTGTTATTAAACATTTTTTTCTGGGGGAGGCCCGTAGAACCCTCTTTACCTCGCAGTCTCACTGGTCGGGGTTTGAATTGAATTTGTCTGTAATCAGTTCGTTGTTGTTGATGTTTTTTGGAAGACTTCTTCTTATAACTCGCTTTGCTCTTCATCCGTTGATACTTGTTTTTTTCGCATGTTTCTCATTCGCTGTCTGAATGACTGTTCATATTGAATGGGGCGGTACCCGCTGTGACGTCACACTTCCAGGTGTGAGGCTGAGACAACGCAAATGTTTTAAAAACATATTTTTCAATAAAATAAAGGATATTTTTTGCCGTAATCTATTTCAGATCGGTAATTTCGATATCCACAAATTATTGAACAAACCTTGCATAACGTCCTTTAATATTTGATTTATTTATTGATTAGTTTGAAAAAATATTTGAGTGGTTTAATGGAAACCATTTATGTAGAAACGTCTAAATCAGTGTGTGTCCTTCAGCCCTGTTGGCACAACGCAAAAACAACTTTGTGGAACAAGTGCAGGAATTAGTTCTGCATAGCTGTGTTTCTATGGACGGAGCCAGGTGTCTGGAGAATGGTGGCTTTAACTTTCTGTTAGAAGTATTGAAAAAGGACTTCACTTTGACTTTGCCCAAACTCCTTGTATAGTCGGTAGCAAAAGAACCAATACAAAAATGAATCAATACTAAAGGATAATAGTAAAAATGTAGAACAATCCTGCCAATTATTAAATTAGGACACAGCTATATATTCAATTTAATGTATTTTATGTAGCCCTAAATCACAACAGCAGTATCTCAAACTGTGAACACAGGAAACACAATAAAAACACATAAGAGCCATTGGTCCAAAGAGAGTGGGATGACCACCATAAATGTTAATAAATGTCCCATCCATCCATCCCTCCATTTTCTACCCTTAATCCATTTCTGGGTTGGGGGGGTGGCATTCAGAGATGCCACCCAAGTTTCATAGCACCAGCCCCTTACTGATACTCCTGCAGGTGGTATATTTCTGTGTATTTTTCAAAATCCATATATTTTATACAGTCCCTCTCCTTGGCATAACCCCCGCCAGTAGAATTTGCTGAAGGGGAATAATTGGACCAATGGGGAAGGGCCCTTGTTTGTGTACAAAGAATTTGAATTGATTTTGTCCATTTAGAAAGCAGTGTTAGTGGGAATGCGAGTATAACCGATCTCTTGCTCTCTTCACAATTCAAAAAGGAACAACAATTTACGTTAATGGAAAGAGTAAATCGGTCCACTCATTGTTGATAAAATAATGGTTAATTACAGCCTCAGAAGTGTTGTCCGCAGAGCTCCTCACGCGTGCCTGCTCCTGTTTCTCGCTGGCTGCGCAGACGATAACAGAATTCCTCCATTGTTCCTTAAAACCACAGCGGCCTTTATCCCGGTTCATGGTTCTCTTTTGGCCTCTCTCCTCAGACTGAACATGCAGACGCCGGCAGAGTCCGTTCTCCACAGCGGATACTTCCACCCCACACTGCGGCGATGGCAAACCTGCAACACCGACCTGAAGCCTGATAACCTCGTCTACCCCATATTCATCACGTAAGTATCACTCGGACTAAAGCTGGGGTTCCTGACTTTAAACCACAACAGCATCTATCTATCTGTCTTGTTCCTCGCTCTCCAAATAGTTTGATTCTATCACTACTTTTCATGTATTTTTGGTCTCTGTCACATCATTATATTAGGTTTTTCAGACGGAAAAGTGAAAAAGAGAGGACCAACCACTCTCAACCAATCATCTCTCAGCCCCAGGAGTCAAATTAATCACAGGGCTTTTTCTTACACAAAATAATAATTCATTCTAAATACTGCTTTTTTTGGCACTCAGACTCTTCACTTCATACAGTGGTGATAGTTCTGATATAGTGCATCAGTTTTAAATAGTGCTTTTCTGGGCACCCAGACACGCTAAACATGATAACCTACCCCATGGTAGCCACAGCTGCCCTGGGGCACACTGACAAAAGCAAGGCAATCAGTATATGCCATTGGCCCGTCCCACCACCCCCAACCATTCACACACAGAGGTCTCCCATCACAGTACTAACCAGGACTTAGCTAGCTTTCACCTGTATGTGGCGATTATAAAGATGATGATTTGTAATAAGAGGAAGGCCTCAGATCTACTTTTACCAGACTCATTTGTGGATAAACATGAGAGAAAATAGAGAAATATTTTTAATCTAAATCCAACATGGCGTGGTATAATTATTAGCACACCGTTGTAAAGAAGGTGATTTAACTGTAGACTGTGCCATAACTTACTTTGAGGGAAAACTACTCTATAATCTCCTACTAAGGTGTAATGAGTTAAAAGCGTTTGGACAGAAGGGAGAGGGAGCAATGTCTTTGGCGAGGAACAAAGTCGTAACATGGTTTATAAATGAAAAAAAAGTACAGTTTATTCTCTGTAGGTGTCCTCGGATTCTGTTGGTCATTTTGTTATTGCTTTGTATCCACAGAGACAACGAAGATGGAATTGAACCGATCGGAAGTCTGCCAGGACAAGCCAGGTAATCGCAGTGAGAGTGGATTTTAAATTTGGAAGAGTTATTCTAAACAAGAACTATAGGTCGGAGTGCTTAATACCAGGAAAGACACTGCAGAAAGTCACAATAAAACTTTTTACAGGTAGAGACGCATTCAGAAGTCAGCAGGAGAGAAACAACTAAGTCTTTAGTTTTTTCTGTCTCTTTATTAGGTTCAATGTTCGTCCATGAGCTCTTCCCTTTTAGGCTTCTGTGTCATAGGCAGTGCGTTCCATTTACAAGGAGCATCAGGAGAGAAAGATACTGATACTATTTTAAATGTTCACACAGCGAGAAGGTAGAAGTCAATCCAGGCCTGAACTGTAGACATTCAACTTACTTTTTTTGTGTGGTCAGAATCCAACTTTTTCACTTTAAATCACACTTGGATATTTTTCCTCTCAGCGACTATGACAGAAAAGGTCAGTGTTGTGTTGTGGTGTGATAGGAGGTGGAGTCCAGGGCGCGACAGAGATAAGACAAGAACGGTTACTGCTGCTGTAGAATCACAAACCTCCTGGTGTCAGTGCTTCCTGTACTCTCACCAAGTCACAAGTTTGCATTAAAAACACAGGACTTGTTCACAATTTGTCAGTGGAAATCATGTTCAAACTTTTTTGCAAGTCTGATGCTCTTTGGTTCGTCAGACTTGACCTGAGGCCGACAACCTGAATTTAAAAAAATAGATTTTAGCTGGATTGACTGGACTGGACTGGTCCTTATTGATTCACACCACAGCTGTATTTTATTTGGAATGTTGTGATAAAGTCAACGACTGGATTCCAGAGTGTCTGAGATTTACAACAAGGTTTAGCGTGACTGTATTGATGGAGCTGAAGTTGGTTGGATAGCAGCACAGCCTCATAAAATGACCCAGAGGGCCGCATTGGAGTTTGGACATGCCTGCCTTAGACCCTCCTGCGTCGGCGAAGAGCCTACGTGGAGAGAGGGATCTGCTCCCTCAGACGGACAGGCTGTAGATCCAGAACTCTAAATAAGTAAATTTTGTCTTTTGTCCCAAGATTATGAAGCTCTACTCAGTCTTGACTTGCAATAATTCTCAATATGCAATGCGTTACATTATACATTCATTTCGCTCCTTCCTTCCTAAAGGAGGCTCCTTAGAATATATTTACAGTGGCGTCAGTTTCAGTTGGAGCTACACTGTCGTATTGTGATTTTCAGATATGGGGTGAACCGAGTGGAGGAGCTGCTGGGGCCGCTGGTGCAGAAAGGCCTGAAGTCTGTCCTAATATTTGGGGTCCCTGCTAAAGTGGAGAAGGTCAGTGGAACAATGCTTGATCAAATATTTCATCGTCATCTCTGTCCTCCGAGAAGGTAAAAGTACCGCCATCACGTGGGTTTATATAGGCTTAATGCTTTAATTCAATTCCATTTATTTCCACTTTCAGGAATTGCTTTAGTGATTTTAAAATAATTATGGAAAACCACCAAAAATAGTTAGTTATAAATGTGATTTGTGAAGTTTCCAGCGTGTATAGCTTTAAAAAGTGCTTTGAGAGTTAGGGGATGTAAATTCAGTTCATTTCTATTTCTGTCCATCTCGTCAGGACGAGCGTGGATCCGGAGCAGACGCGGCGGACACTCCTGTGGTGCTCGCAGTGAGGAAGATCAGAGCCATGTTCCCTGAGCTGCTGGTGGCCTGTGACGTCTGCCTCTGTCCCTACACCTCACACGGGCACTGTGGTGAGAGACACACACACACACACACACACACTCACACACAGACATATACACACACACACGTACAACATAACATAACAAATACACACATGGACACTGGTGAGAGTCTGACACACACACACACACACACACACACACTTACACAGACAGACACACGACACACACGGACACTATGGTGAGAGTCAGACAGACACACATACACACACACACACACACACAGACATATGCATACACACCTACACAAACACAACCACATACCCCTACACACGCATCCAACATATCATAAATATACACGTGGAGACTGTGGTGAGAGTCAGACACACACTCTCATACACACACGATGCAAGCTGCACTGATGGAACACAAAACGTTTAAAGAAAAATAAATATATATATTTTTTATGTTTATTGCATTTTAATAGATCTACAAGCACTTAACACGTCAAGTAAAATGAACATTCCCCCACAACAACAATATATTGCGAGCTCAAAGTCGCAGATTAGATTCCACCAGCTCCAGAGAACAAGGTGACTTCTGCCCCCTTGTGGCCAAACTGCGGTAGTGCACTGGCTCTGCAGACAGTAGTAGTTGTAAACGGCTGTTTCGTGGTGCAGGGCCCTTGTGCCTTGAAGGAAAACCCCAGTGTTGTAATGTTAACTCAGACATGTTTTGTTGTTGCAGGGATCCTGAATGAAGACGGCGCTCTGAACAATGACGCCAGCTGCCTGCGTCTGGCGGAGGTCGCTCTGGCCTACGCTCAAGCAGGTCATCATACTTTTCATACTCAAGTATCAGAGACCAGAGAGAGAGACCAGAGAAAGAGAGAGACCAGAGAAAGAGAGAGACCAGAGAAAGAGAGAGACCAGAGAAAGAGATCACAGAGGGAGAGCACAGAGGGAGACCACAGACGGAGACCAGAGAGGGAGACCAGAGAGGGAGACCAGAGAGGGAGACCAGAGAGGGAGACCAGAGAGGGAGACCAGAGAGGGAGACCAGAGAGGGAGACCAGAGAGGGAGACCAGAGAGGGAGACCAGAGAGGGAGACCAGAGAGGGAGACCAGAGAGGGAGACCAGAGAGGGAGACCAGAGAGGGAGACCAGAGAGGGAGACCAGAGAGGGAGACCAGAGAGGGAGACCAGAGAGGGAGACATCCACGCTTCATTGTCTGTCTGGTAACGTGACTAAAAAGCGGACTCTCTGCCACTGCTGCAGGCGCTCACATCATCGCTCCCTCGGACATGATGGACGGACGCGTCAGGGCCATCAAACAGTTCTTCCTCGCCAACGACATGGGAAACAAGGTGAGCGACCACACATGGCTAAACTCTGGATCTTTAACACTTAAAAACACGATTTTCAATTGGACATTTTCTCCCTGCAGGTCTCTGTTCTGAGCTACAGCGCCAAGTTCGCCTCCTGTTACTACGGACCCTTTAGGTTTGTGCTGTTTGCAAACGACACAACGTTCTGTCGACCTGCAGAACTCAGAACAAAGTTAAAAGTCATATAATTACTGTTCACTGGCTGCATTTCATCTCCTATCTCTTCATTAATCTCCTTCACTGGGTTTGTTTCCTTTTTCAAGTCTGCTAAATAATATATACATGTTTTTAAGGCTCAGATCTTCAAGTTATGACACAAAAGAAACAGTGAGGAAAAAAATAAAGAAATCTAGGGGAGCTCCACAAAGAGAGAGGGTCTGCTAACAAGGACAGACAGGCTGTAGATCCAGGACTGAGGCTGTAGGTCCAGGACTGAGGCTGTAGGTCCAGGACTGAGGCTGTAGGTCCAGGACTGAGGCTGTAGGCCAGGACGAAGGCTGTAGATCCAGGACGGAGGCTGTAGATCCAGGACAGAGGCTGTAGATCCAGGACGGAGGCTGTAGATCCAGGACGGAGGCTGTAGATCCAGGACGGAGGCTGTAGATCCAGGACGGAGGCTGTAGATCCAGGACGGAGGCTGTAGATCCAGGACGGAGGCTGTAGATCCAGGACGGAGGCTGTAGATCCAGGACGGAGGCTGTAGATCCAGGACGGAGGCTGTAGATCCAGGACGGAGGCTGTAGATCCAGGACGGAGGCTGTAGATCCAGGACGGAGGCTGTAGATCCAGGACGGAGGCTGTAGATCCAGGACGGAGGCTGTAGATCCAGGACGGAGGCTGTAGATCCAGGACGGAGGCTGTAGATCCAGGACGGAGGCTGTAGATCCAGGACGGAGGCTGTAGATCCAGGACGGAGGCTGTAGATCCAGGACAGAGGCTGTAGATCCAGGACGGAGGCTGTAGATCCAGGACGGAGGCTGTAGATCCAGGACGGAGGCTGTAGATCCAGGACTGAGACTGTAGATCCAGGACTGAGGCAGCTTCCAGGCAGGGGGAGAGGGGGGTGCAGCCTATGAGTCCAGATTGAGGGAGACCATGTCAAAGTCCAGGTCAAAGAGGCTGAATTCAGAGGTCCCATATTGTACGTAAATGCCAAACTAGGGACAAAAATGACGAATAAGACTTGGCTAAAGCTATGCAACATTTACTCATACATATTTGTCTCTATCAAACAGACCCAGTGTATGAATAAATGGATGAATAACTAACATAATCCAGGAGCTAGGATCATGGAGCTGACGGCTGTGTTTGTCCCACAGAGACGCTGCTCAATCGAAGCCTGCGTTTGGAGACAGACGCTGCTACCAGCTTCCCCCTGGAGCCCGCGGACTGGCACTCAGAGCTGTGGTAAGTGTGCGCGCGTGCGGGTGTGTGTGTCATGTGTGTGTGTGTGTCATGTGTGTGTGTGTGTGTGTACTGCAGGAGCGAGATGTGAGAGAAGGAGCTGACATGGTGATGGTCAAACCCGGACTGCCGTATCTGGACATTGTCAGAGAGGTCAAAGACAAGGTAACTGCTTTAAACCAGGGAAGTTTGAATTCATTATGTAACTGAGAAAAATACTGTAAGAATGCATCATTCCTGCAAAATAACCCAGTGGTAAAGAGAGAGAAATCTCAGATCTGTACATCCAGGACTGAGGCTGAAGATCCAGGATCTTGGATCTTTATAATCTAATCTATTATACTAGTTCTATTTCATATTGACTGTTGGGGCCATATCCAGGGCACCAGTGGCTCCCTGTAGCTGCAGTCCTGAGAGCAGCTGGCCGGTTTGTGCCTGCGTTAAACCCAGAGGAAATGGATATTTTTATGTCTGAACTTTGAATTTTGGATTCTTGAGACGTCCCCTGAGATGAGAGACCTGTGACCTGTTTGTGTCAATGTGTGAAATAATCCCAGTCTCTACTCTACTCTACTCTACTCTACTCTACTCTACTCTACTCTACTCTACCCTACCCTACCCTACCCTACCCTACCCTACCCTACCCTACCCTACCCGGTTGTGTTTCCATTACACTTCCTTGGTAGCCGTGGCTTCCAGCAGCTCTCTGCCCAATTGTTGCTGTCAGGTAGAACACAGGACCTGGTACTGGTTACTCAGGGACAGTGGAAACGCTCCCAATGAGTAGAGTAGAGTAGGGTAGGGTAGAGCAGATTATAATAGGGTAGGATACGACAGGTCCAAGTAGGCTACTGGATCTCGGAGTTTGACAAAAAATATATTTATAACTTCCAGTCCTGTTACATACAGCCAAAGATAAAAACATAATGGTACTAATATAGACTCACACGTGTCTCTCTCCTGCAGTTCCCGTCTCACCCGCTCGCCGTTTACAACGTGTCGGGGGAGTTCTCCATGATGTGGCACGGAGCTCAGGCCGGCGCCTTCGAGCTGCGAGCCGCCGTGATGGAGGCCATGACGTCCTTCAGGAGAGCAGGTACCAGGAGGCTGAGCAGTGGACTGACCCAGTGTGACATCACCACAGCGTTAGCCTTAATGCGGAAGAGGCCGGCTTGAACATTAGCTAGCAGGAGCCAATTTCCTTATATGGTTATTTGTCCCACAGTGGGGATATTTCAGTGTTGCATCACCAGTTACAGAACAGTAGGAATGAGGATCACACAGCACAAGATAAGTGAGAGATCCCTGAATAGAACAAAATATAATAACATCTCTGACTTGAGCATAATGAAGAAGCAAGTATAACATTTCTAACTTTTGGCATTATATAGAAGCAAAAAAAAAAAAAATCATGTAATTCATGACAAAATATGCAAAATTTCAGGTCAGCACTTATGAAGCTGCTCCTGTTCAGGATAAAAACACAGGAAAATGGGAAATTAAATTGGGACTCTGAGTAGCACAGGGACTGGCCTCCTGCTGGTGCTTAGAGTCAGAACTAAACATAGGGAAGCAGAATTTCAGATTTATGCAACACCAAAAAAAGTCTTCCTGAAAATGTGAGACAGGATTATTCTCGGACAATATTCAAATCCAGGTTTAGCCACAACAACTGAAGTATTGTATCTCTACTCTTTTTAATGTTCTGTGATTATTTATAATTTCAATGCTTGTCTTTTTCAGCATTTTGAGTTTCCTTGTGTATGAACTGTCTATACTACTGAGTTATTTAAAGCTGGGGTACCTAACTTTCAAACCACAAAAAAACAGTAGCTCCTCGCTCTCAAAAGAGTCAGTAGTTTTCACCTGAATGCATTTTTTTGGCCTCTTTCACGTCTTCAGATCAACTTTTTCAGACAGAAAAGTGAAAAAGAGAGACCCACCCTCCCTCGGCCAATCAGCTCTCAGCTCAAAGGGTCAAATAGTGACTCATAGGGCTCTTTCTTACACTAAAGATAACGTGTTTTCTAATATATTGTAGACTGATAACTGTGTGCTGATTTTGCATAGCTCTGTTAAAACAAACACATAAATAGCTAATAGTAAATCCAGGTACCCCAGCTTTAAAAGAATATATTTCAGTAACTATGATAACTTCTGTTATAATTCTCAAGTATATTTTTCTGTGCTTTTCCAGGAGCCGACATCATCATCACCTACTTTGTGCCTCAGCTGCTCGACTGGCTCCAGCAGTGACCGGCGGCGCTTATGCATTTATTCAACACATTCTTCTCATTATTCTAGAATTTTCTTTCACAAACAAACTATGCTGTGACTTTAACCAATGAGATTAGAGCTGTTTCTGTCACATGTCTGTTAAGGGCTACTGTTGTCGAGCTGTGAATGTGTCTTAGTCCAACACTCGTATTGTCGTCATGATTATAGCTTTAATCTTTTGGAAGAGAATGGGCCTGTTTTGTATAAAGGCAAAATAAATAAATTTGAGTCTGAATTATTGTCTGTTTGTTTCTCATTCTGATGCTATGTATGAATGTATTTTCTTTTTTGAATGTATGAAAAGTTTTTATAAATGCAATAATACAACAGTGGACATGTCTGGGATATAAAAAATGTAGAAATATTTTTACAAGTAAAAAATGTGATAAAGAAAAGAGCCTCAGTCTGAGTGACACGTGCTCAAATCCATTCATGAACCTTCATAGACTGCGTATATTAAATACATTTCTCTCTTTAAAACCAGGTGAGAGTCACTCAGAGGCTGCTGTTCGCGGTGTCGCCCGCAGGAGGCGCTCACACTCCACTTATCAGACGCGTCTCAACAGAACTTTGTTTGACTTTAACTTGAGTGGATCTGAGGCGCTCGCGGAGGAGACTTCTGTTTGGCCGTTATCCCAGAGGCTCGCGCTGATCACGCTGTCTGCCGTTCTCCTGGAGACTCTCCCGGAGACTCCGTGGATCATTCTCTGGTCTCGTGTGGAGAGACCGCACGGGTCTCGCGCAGTGGGCTGGTGCGCGTGTGCGTGCGCGTGTCTGTGGGAGTGTCCAGAGTGCACAGAGGCACGCGCGCACTGGACTCTCTCACGCACAGGACTCAAGACTCCGTGGCGCGTGGGGACGGATGGCTCCAGGATCGTGGTAACGCACGCACGTCACGCACGGACAGGAGCTTGTGTGAACGGCTCGTGGCCCGCGATCCACGCGTGAAATGTGGCGAGTGGGAGTGCGGTGCTGGCTGTTCATGGGGCTGTGCTCGTGCGTGGCCCGGTGCTCCGGGAAGAACGTGACTGTGGCCGTGATGCTGCCGGACAACCATCACAAATACGCGTGGGCTCAACCGCGCGTGCTGCCGGCACTGCGCATGGCGCAAGAGGACCTGGCGCGGCGCGGACTGCTGCTCGGACGCACGGTGATTTTACGGAACTTCAGCACCGAGAACCCGGCGGTGGGTCTGTGCGCGGAGAGCCGTGCGCAGGTCGTGGCGGTGGACGTCAAAATGAACTTACGTCCGGACGTGTTCTTCGGACCGGGCTGCGTGTACCCTCTGGCCTCCGTGGGCCGTTTCGCATCGCACTGGCGCCTGCCGCTCTTCACCGCGGGCGGCTCTGCATTCGGCTTCGACAACCAGGACGAGTACAGCACCATCGTGCGCTCCGGTCCCTCCACCACCAAACTGGGGGAGTTCGCCATCGCGCTGCACGCGTACTTCAACTGGACGTCACGCGCCATGGTGACTTGGTACGACTTGCGCCTCGTGGACGACCGGCCGCATTACTTTCTGGCAGAAGGGATTTACGTGGCGCTGAAGGAGCAGAACATCACCATGGAGGCGCAGCCGTATCAGAACGACCACAAGTACTACCGCGAGCTCATCAGCTTCATCCGGGAGCACGGCCGCAGTGAGTACTGAGCACTTTTCTGCACTTTATTTTACACTTTCTCCTGTACCTCTGTGCTCCTGTGCTGAGTCTTCAAACTTCTCCTGAGTGCGTGTGTTTGTGGAAGGGTTAAGGAGTCTCATGCATCTATTAATGTGTCTGTGCGTGTGCGGGCTGAAAACTCCCAAAACAAAAGTTAGTTTTGAAGTTCAGCCTCTGGAAACCTCTGGAAACCTGTTTGTGCCGCTGCTCCGAGGCCTCGCGCTCTATATGAAGTATAAACAAACATGAAACAAAGAGTATGGTGAAGGACAGATCTCTGGTCTCTCTCTCTGGTATCTCTATAGTCTCTCTCTCTGGTTTCTCTCTCTGGTCTCTCTCTGGTTTCTCTCTCTGGTCTCTCTGGTCTCTTTCGTGCTGAGGCTCCAGCGCGCTTCTCAACATAAACTTTTCTCATGAATCAAGACTCCATGAGAATCAGATGTGACACAGAGACTTTAAAATTAATCTACGGTGGACATGAGATCTGTCAGTTTTGGGCAAAAGTGAATAATAAATAAATAATATATAAGTTAATAATTACTGTTGTTTTGTTGTATGTTAACAGAATCCTACACAAATGTGTCTGCTACTATATACATTTGGCCAATTCTGGTAAGGCAAGTTTCTTTTGAATAGGACAGTTATAATTACAGTTACACGCTGTAGTACACATACACAGAGGGAGCAGAGAGAGACCAGTGAGAGAGAGACCAGTGAGAGACCAGAGCGAGAAAGAGACCAGAGCGAGAAAGAGACCAGAGCGAGAAAGAGACCAGAGCGAGAAAGAGACCAGAGCGAGAAAGAGACCAGAGCGAGAAAGAGACCAGAGCGAGAAAGAGACCAGAGCGAGAAAGAGACCAGAGCGAGAAAGAGACCAGAGCGAGAAAGAGACCAGAGCGAGAAAGAGACCAGAGCGAGAGAGAGACCAGAGAGAGAGAGAGACCAGAGAGAGACAAGAAAGAGAGGCAAGAGAGAGGCTGCTGAGACGAGAGACCAGAGTGAGTCCAGGAGTGAGAGACCAGAGCGAGAGAAACCAGAGAGAGAGAGACCAGAGAGAGAGACCAGAGGGAGACAAGAAAGGGAGGCAAGAAAGAGTGAGAAACCATAGAGCAGGGGTCACCAACCTTTTTGAAACCAAGAGCTACTTCTTGGGTACTGATTAATGCGAAGGGCTACCAGTTTGTTACACACTTAAATAAATTGCCAGATATGGCCAATTTGCTCAATTTACCTTTAATTCTATGTTTTTAATAATAATTAATGATATTTATTTTGTGGAAAAACTTTTATATTTTGCACATTTTTCAAATTTAACAAATGATCACTTCTAAGACAGTCCCATTTAATCGCAATTAATCACATTTTAATCGCATATAAATATTTGACCTGAGAACAGTGAGAAGTAATTTTTTTCACATGGATTTTAGTTTACCATTGAATAATGACTGAATACATGAGGCTTAAGCAACACATGTTAATATGGAGTTTAAGGGATAACTTCTAAACATCAAATAACGTTTCTGTCATTGCTTCCACACTCTGACGACAACATACTCTTTTTAAGCCCAAAATCCACTGCACACGCTGTGAGCACTAAAGCTGGGCATGCGCTGTTTGCTAAAGCTTTTATAATACGTTTTTGATGTGTGCATTCGGAGTAAACATCAGCATTAGCAGCTCACACACCTGTGTCTCGCTCCTCCTTCTCCTCCTCCTCCGCTCACACAGGAGTCACTGCTCCTCCTCCTCACACACAGTCCATCGCTCCATACACAGCGCTCATTCCCGTCTAATTTACTCGAATTTAAAGTTGGTCTCTGCTTGTAATAATGTACTTTTGAACAAGAAAAGTCACGGAGCTCCGGTTGGTGCGTCAGTTCAATTGGTCCGTCTGAAACTTATTCAGTGAGGAACGTTCCGCGGTGCAAAAATACATACAATTAAAATGCGTAATTTTTTTAACGCGCTTTTTTGTGTGTAATTAATTAATCTTTATTAACTTGTTAAAGTCCCGGCTCTAGTTTATATGCCATTTGTAAGTTGCATGCAAGTATGATTTAAACAAGAATAGCACTGGTAAGTGCTGCCATTTGAGCTATTTTTAGAACAGGCCAGAGGGCGACTCATCTGGTCCTTGCGGGCGACCTGGTGCCCGCGGGCACCGCGTTGGTGACCCCTGCCATAGAGGGACAAGAAATAGAGGCAGAAGAGAGACACCAGAGAGACCAGAGTGAGTTCAGGAGTGAGAGACCAGAGCGAGAGAGACCAGTGCGAGAGAAACCAGAGAGAGAGACAGACCAGAGAGAGACAAGAAAGAGAGGCAAGAGAGAAACCAGAGAGTGAGAAACCATAGAGGGACAAGAAATAGATCGCAGAAGAGAGACCAGAGCAATAGTACAGCGCCTAAGACCCATATCCAGATGTTGATGCTCTTGGTCTGGACCAGAGCTGGAGGAGAACATGCAAACTCCACTCTGAAGTTTGCATGTTCTGAGTGGAGGGTTCCGACCGGGATCCGAACCCTTGTTGCCGAAACGCTAACCACTCAGATAAAAAAGGAAACTCAAAACGAATGAATGTCATAGTTTCCCTTCATCTGTTTTTTCTCATTGATCCGAAACCTGAGCCGCTCCTGAAATATTCATCAGTCGCCACAGAGAAGACTGGACATTTCTTTTCACTTTTTTAACCTTTGAGTGATTTTGGTGTTAAACTTTCGTATAAATTAGTAATTAATTAGTAAAAAAATATTAGAACCCAACTCAAAGTTCTTCGCATCAACGTGGTCATTGTACCACTGTGATGAAACTGATTTGGATCTGTGTTTTTCCTTTCAAAATGTCAAATTAGGATTCAAAACAAATTCTACTCCTCCCTATGATGGTAGCAATGATCACACTCTGGTCTCTCTCTGGTCTCTCTGGTCTCTCTCTGGTCTCTCTTTGGTCTCTCTTGTCGCTCTCTGGTCTCTCTCTGATCCTTCTATCTTGCCTCTCTCTCTCTGGTCTCTCTCTTATCTCTCTCTGGTCTCTCTCTCTTATCTCTCTCTGGTCTCTCTCTTATCTCTCTCTGGTGTCTCTCTTGTCTCTCTCTTGTCTCTATATCTTGTCTCTCTGGTCTCTCTGGTCTCTCTCTTCTTGTTCTCTCTCTGGTCTCTCTGTTCTCTCTTTCTGGTGTCCATCTGGTCTCTCTTGTCTGGTCTCTCTCTGGTCTCTCTTTGGTCTCTCTTGTCTCTCTCTGGTCCCTCTATCTTGCCTCTCTCACTCTCTGGTCTCTCTTTCTCTTTGTTTAATTCCAGGGCTTAACCAATAATGTGTATGTGCATTTAAATACCCTCCCTAATTTCATCACAATCCCTGTAACAGTTTTTGTCTGTCAGATTTCTAATGTGCTAGACCATGTTCCGACCTTGATGGTCTCTCTTCCTGGTCTGAGTTTGTGTACAGTATGTGTGCGAGTGCTGAATAGGCGTCTGTGAACGGCAACGCAGATGCTTTGATGTCTGCGGCAGAAAAAAACCACTATACACGAGTTTCTTTGAGGACTGTGGGTTGCCATAGTAATTTCCAGTCGTTGCAACACAAAATATATCTGTTAAATTGACGAAAAAATTCTGGTCTATCAAACCAGCAGCGGATGTCGCAGAGAAACATGGAAGAGAGAGATGAAAATGGTTTGAAACGGTCCTGAGATTTCACTTAGGAGAGCCTGAAGTGATTGAGTCATGGTTGTGTATAGTTTGTGTGTAATTTATTTGTGTGTAATTTATGGTATATTTCTGGACTCACTCACTGCTTTCTCTCTCTGGTCTCTGTCTCTCTGGTCTCTGTCTCTCTGGTCTCTCTCTCTGGTCTCTCTCTCTGGCCTCTCTCTGATCTCTCTCTCTGGTCTCTCTCTCCCTGATCTCTCTCCCTGATCTCTCTCTCTGGTCTCTCTCTCTGGTCTCTCTCTCTGGTCTCTCTCACTCTAATCTTTCTCTCTGGCTCCTCACTCTGGTCTCTCTCTCTGGTCTCTCTCTCTGGCCTCTCTCTGATCTCTCTCTCTGGTCTCTCTCTCCAGTCTCTCCCTGATCTCTCTCTCTGATCTCTCTCTCTGGTCTCTCTCTCTGGTCTCTCTCTCTGGTCTCTCTCACTCTAATCTTTCTCTCTGGCTCCTCACTCTGGTCTCTCTCTCTGATCTCTCTCTGGTCTCTCTCTGGCCTCTCTCATAGTCTCTCTCTCTGATCTCTCTCTTGCATCCTCTCTGACACGGCTCAAGACACATGGTCCACATCCTGCCTGGATCAATGGTTCTCACTGCAGACTGGTGTCAGGTTGCACCAGAGCAGGCTCCGGTGGTCAGAGAGGACGAGGGTTCAAACACAGAGAGAAGGATATTTTCGGCAGATCCATGTTTTAACAGTTTACGGCTCTCACAGTCACAGATTTGACCCTCTGACAGATCAGAGATGGCTGATGGGAGATTTACCATATTATATATTGGTTATAAATGTGACCATTCAATAGTATTGCGATACATGGGCCATGTTTCAATATTATCCAACCATCCATTTTGTTTCCCTTTGTCCATTTCTAAGTTATCAGCTGCTGATCCTCCTGCAGGTGGGGAGTCCAGAGGAGGACAGCTGCTCTGTCAGTGAGAGCATAGCCTTGATTTTTCGGCGGAGGGTTCAGGCAAAGTCAACTCAAATGTTACATTTATCATGGTCTGCACATAAACTGCACTTAGACACATGAGGGAAGTGCAAAAACTTTATCCTTGAACATTCAGGTCACAGGACCTAACTACAGACAATACAAAACAATAAAATGTATTCTTGTATCGCCCTAAATCACAACAGTATCATCTCGGAGGACTTAACAAAACCATTGAAATCACCAACACAGATCAGAGAGTAAAAAGTTAAGACACAGAAAGAATATAGAACACATGTAGATAAATGTCATACATGTTGTAGAATGTTAAAAGTGTCCTGGATC